GACAGAGGGTTAGGCTTTGGCCTGACTTTGGGACTTGAACCTATATGGGATACGATATGCATAGTAAAGACTAACTTATTTATTCATATTGGATTCAATTTCAAGGGTGCAAACGCGAGATTATATATTGTCCAGTCATTTATATTCTTCTAATTCATAAATATTGTACTATGAGGAAATGTCAGTACTCATACCAAATATTGTAAAAAAAAAAATAAAACGTACAAATTTGATCGTATTATGCTAAATGCACAAAATAATAAGTATCCGATCATGCAACAATAAACAACCTTCATGAGAGCTGCTTATGCAAATTAACTTGAGAGTTTGAGAAAATAATTTAGATATTATCTCACAATGAACTTAAAAAATTTCTAATGGAGAAAATTAAAATTTTGGTTATTTATGATCCAAGTTACCAGCAATATTTAATCTAATTTGTTTCACGAATAGAATATATCTCTCGAAGAACAATGATATTCCTTGAAGAGATACGAGTTACAGTATTAATTATCCACATCCAAGTTTGTTTTTTTGATAATCGATGCTACCATGAAACTTAAGCAAAAAGCAAAGTTATCATGTAACTCCCGGTTATAAATGCCTCCTTCTTTGCAATACTCCAGTCGTCTTCGTCGAATATACTAATCTTATCGTCAATTTGATTCCTGTAGAATAATCGACTTAGAGATACCTTTGTCTTACGACTTTGTTCAATCTTATCGACCAGTTGTCGAAGAGTAGTGTCGAATGGCATTAACATTGCATACTTTCGGGTCATAAAGATGCAAGTAACGTGAAGTAAAGCCTTATAATTGATTGATCGTTAACGGAACGGATCTAAGGATGTCCATTTTCCATGATCATATTCAAGTTACCTCATTTCCATTGGGCGTACTCCCAGAAATTTCGGACATCCCGTCGGATCCTTCTAGTGATTGAAGATTATCAATGCTAGGAGTAATTTCATTACTGCCATTGACCGTAGAGACGATGGCATCGGAGTGGTCATTCTGAATGAACCGGGTATCGGTTTGACGATGATGAAGGTCTAAAATGCTAGAGTACACGGATTGGTGAGGAACTTCTGAGTCGAGCAAGGATTCTGAGAATAATTGTGACGACTTCGCAGATTATGTAAAAAAAAACAATTGAATTCAAAAACAAATCACAAGTATGATCCAAAGTAAAAAAAAATAATTGAATAGAAAAATAAAATTGAATCATCAAAAATAAATAGCTCCAGTCAAACCTTTGGCGCCTTCACATCGCCATCTACATCTCTACGAAGGGACAGGCCATCGCTTCCTCGTGATAAGTTCGCATTAGCCTCATTGGCTGCCTGTGGAATTTGATTACCAGTATCAAGAAGTGACGTACTACTGCTATCCCGTGAAGAAATTACTTTGAACTCATTACCAACATGTGGCATTTGATAATTATCAGTGTCAAGAAACGCTATGTTGCTAACGTTCCGTGTTAAAACTGGGTTAACATTAATATCTCGATCACGATCGTTACCCATTGAATTTTTACTGGGCTATGTAATGACGATTAAACTCAGCACTCAATTGTTAAGCAGCCATATTCTTAGAAAAACATTACAACTCTTACATTGTATCGGTCAGTTCTATTATTCTCAAGGGTCATTTCATTTGTCTAATTACAAAAAGAAAGATACATCAAGTATTAACCACCGCCATTTAAGATTGTTTACGTCAAATGCTACTTGCCATTTTATATTCATCGATCCGACGTTGCTGATCTTCAGAATGTCTTCGTTTTTCCTTTTGATAAATTTATTGAGCACTTGACTTTCATCAAATTTTACATTATTCTCAAGGTGTCCTTTAGACTTGGAAAACTACGAACCCATTCTTTAACGTCGTTAGCCAATCTGGAAAGTTCGCCTTCCACGAAATCACCTAATGAAAAGATGATGTTTGTTACATCATCTAGTTGTCCCTCGGTTGGATCATTAGGAATTTCAATTCGGCAATCTAGATTTTCATAAGGAAATTCGTAATACTTGAAAAAGTTTTAAAAGGTCATATCGACAACCTTTCGTCAGTAATAATGCAATGATGTCAGAAGGAAATATACTTACTGACTTCTTAAACTTTTCTTTGAATGTCAAAACCAATTTCCTTTCTTCGTGGGCGTAATAAAATTTCTGCAGTTGGTCCAAGAAAATTGCGATTTCCTTTTTTCTTTGTATCATGAAGATGCAAACTTCTTTTGCTTGTACCCGATATACAAAAGCAAAATTAGAACTTTCCGAGTTCATTGGCGACACCACCGAACTTGTTGATGACAATTGCCTCTTCGACGGTTCCAAGACAATCCTTTCAACTTCGATTATGATGTAATCTTGAGGATTATCAAAACTATTGAGAATGGTTTTGTTTTTTGTTGAATTGGCGCTGTAATGTCTTGAAGCAGAACGGTTTGAGTTGCTAGTAAAATTTCCGCTATTCGGACGAGACGCAGGGGTAATATGTGGTCCTAAGGGTGATGAATCACGAGAATTCATGGTAGCTGACATTTACGTGAATAAATAATTTTCTTTACTCTTGGTTTGATCAAAGAGAATAATCGTTCAGATGACCATTCTTACCATACAAGTCATCATCGCTAGAATCGAACTCAAATTCGTTAGTTCCCCCCATGTGACGAGTTTTATTCTTCCTTCCCATGACCTCAACACACTCATAACCACTATGCAGAATTACAATAAATCTCGAATATTTAGATGATGATCAGAGTATAAATGACTAAGAAGAAATCGGAAAATTGATATGCATGATTTCATACAGTACGTACACTATTTATTATGATAACAATGACACACATAACGTGACGTTCATCGTGGCGATCAATCATTGAACTCTTCAACGCAGACTCTCACGAAGATACTGCGAGCGCTATTGACATTCAAAGTCTCAATTCGGGTGAATTCAATCAAGGCGTTGGTTGTATACTCTTCCGTGTATATTATCATATAGGACGCGACATGTGACCACGTGCGCATGTTCTAGTAGCTTTGGGAAGATACATGAAAGGTAGCGAATTTGCTGCAATTCGCCGTTGCGAATCCTCATATTTTAAAACTATAAACACTGCAATATAACATTAAAATTGCTTGACGTTCCAATAAGATAGATTATTATTATCATAAAATATTAAAAACTTCGATACTAAAAGAACCGAAGCCATTGAGATATCTGAAGTAAATTCTATATGAGCACATAATTTTACGCTTAAACGTTGGTGTTCTGACTACATTTTATTTGAATCGTTAAATATACTGAAAATGATTAGGATTAAAGAGATTAAAGTTTTTATGCAAAAATAAATGGTTTTTTACATAAATGTATATAATATTAGGTAATTAATACTATTTATCATTAAATAATAATTATTTTTTATCATTCTTGGGTTTGATATTGTTTCTTTAATGTTTATAAACATTAGCAAATGAAAAAGATAACGTACTGTATATTGATTTTTAACAAATTAAATATCACTAGTTGAAAATGATTTATTTTGACATAATGCTACTTACTAATCATTTGGTAAAAAAGGAAATAATTCAACAAATCAATAAATTTACATACTACCTTTGCTCTTGTTTTATATCTAGCTAACCAAGTGTTACTTCTTTTTTAACATGTAGATATTTCTGACAACAATTATAACCAATATACAGTGAACCTTCTCTAAATGCACACCCCTCGGGACCATAGAAATTTTTTTGAAAAATATGCATTTATAGAGGATATGCATTTACAGTGGTGATCAAAAGTATTGCATCACCGGATTACAAAAATTAAAATAGCAATATATCACGATATAAAATTTGTAGCATCACGAAATACTTTTATGTGATTCATCATATGTAAAGATATTTAATAATATAAATTTTTTCGCATAACAGTAAAAAAAAATTTTTTTTATTCTTCGTTGTAAGTCATTTATGTGATGTATTTTTTTTTACCATTCCCTTTTTTTTCACCCCTCACATATCAAACATAAAAAAAAATAAATTAAACACCAAAAAAACTTGATAGATTGTCAATTACCACCTCGTATAGCCTCCATTCGCTTTAATCACATTGTTTATATGGGTTGGCATACTGATAATTAAATTCACACACACATCATTTTAAGTTCAATCCAAATCTTTTGAACAGCTTTCCACAACTGGTCTTGTGTTCTAACAGGGGTCTCTAAACATCTTAAACAGCAATCTATCTCGTTCCATAAATGCTTAATCGGGTTTAAGTCAGGAGACTGAGCCGGCCAATCGAGCATATTAATATCTTTCTCTTCAAACTATTGTTTTGTTGTATAGACAGTATGCTTTGAATTATTATTCTGCTGGAAAATAATCTTTTTTTTATCCATTCTATGTCACCTGATAGTTCCCAAAAGATCTTCCTCCAAGATTTGTTTGTATAGAGTACTATCTATCATTCCATAGATATGATATACAGTATATTGCCAACACCACCAGACAAAAAACATCTCCACACTATAATTTTGCCACCTCCATATTTCACTATAGGTTTAATATGATGGTCTTGCAATGGTTCCTCTGGTTGTTTCCAACAATATTCGTGACCTTCTGAGTCAAATATTATAAATTTAGACTTATCAGACCAGATAACCTTATTCCAGTCTTCTACTATCCAAAATTAATATTTTTTTGCAAATTTAAGACATGCATATCTATGTGTTTTTTTCAGATACGGCTTTTTACGTTTAACTTAAGTACCCAATCCATTTCGACGTAAAGTTTTCTTTACTGTGCTTTCGCTAATCTCAATTTTTTCTTCTGTTATTGGCTTTTTCTGAATAGCAACTGCATTTGTATATTCACCTGTTGTAATAAATCGTAACACTTTTTGCTCATAATGACTAGTAAGAAGTCTAGAACGTCCTGATTTTGGTTTGTCTTGAAAGGTACCAGTTTGTTCTTTATGTTGTTTGATTCTTATGACTGTAGATTGTGATACATTTTCACGAGAAGTTATAACTCGTAAAGGATACTCTTCTTTGAAGAGGGCATAAATCTGGGCTCTTTTTTCAGGTGATAGGTAAACCATGATAGTGGAAAATTTGAGAGTAGACGGTATAAGTTACAAGACATTGTTTTTATATAGCTTGTGAATTGTTTTGAAATGCGTTAAGGCGCATACTAGGTGTTAATATTTATTTATTAAAAATGGTCAAAAAAAATGTATCACTATTTTCGAAGAATTGTACATCCAGCGTGAGAGTTTTTTAGATTACAAAAAAAAAAGTACTTATATATCGAAATTATATTATGACAAGCTCAATTTGGAAATTTTGTGTCATTTCAACATCTGGATCACAAAATATCATCATTTTAAATTTTGTGTTCAGGTGATGCAATACTTTCGACCGCCACTGTATGAAAATAATTTTATTAAAAATTCTATGTACTTAGGATCAAGCTTAACCATGTATTTAGAGAGAGAAAATATAGTAAGTGCAATTATAGATGGTGCATTTAGAAAGATCTCTCTGTATTAAGACAAGAAACATCAAAATAAAAAGCAAAAAGACAAAAGTTGTAACAATTATAGCATTTATTTTGCTAATGCCAGAGAAGTATAACAGATATATGATCTCTTTTATTACAGATTGTATAGATCTTGCAAAGTTAAAACTTATTATATATTTTGTTTTATATCTTTTGCAACATGTATAAATTTTTTTGACTTTTATTTGCAAAAATTAAAATTTATATATATGTTAATAGTCAATATAAAAAATTGCTTAATACTTTATATCAGAAAAAAATATAGTAATAATATTAATTAATTAATCTATACATATAGGTTTTAATATAATTTTTATCTTTTAAAACTTTTAAAAATATATATATATGAGTAATTATTTTTTAAGACAACAAAAATACTAGGTATAATTTTTTTTTTAAGTAGATAAATATTACCTCTTTATTATCATAAAAATTTTAAATTATTTTACATATAGAAAGTGACAATATCTCTTACATAACCAATTGATTAGTGAGTCTAATGCTAGCTTGCCTATAGAAACTATCTAAATAATATGAAAAATAAATATTAAAACTAATGTATATTCTAAATAGTGTTAAGCAATTATAAATATCTATTTAGGTTTATATATAAGACTGTAAAAATTGAAAATTGAATAAAAAAAGAAAATATTAAACAAAAAAATAAATATAACAAAATTAATTGTAAAGCTATGGATACTTTAGATAAAATTATTAGGCATGTTATATTGATAGTTTCATTTAACTGAAGTACAATAGTTACATTTCCAGAAATGGTCAGATTACTGTTTAAAGTATACAATAGTATTAATAATATATCTTCTTGATAGATGATTGATTGTAATAGTATTGTTATTGTAGTGATATGATTTGTAATTAATTTGTTTATTAATGATATGATTTTGTTTTAATTGTTGTTATTATAAAATATTTTATTTATATTAATCAAAGTATAATATTTTGATTATACAAATTTGTTTAAGAAATTGGTAGTGTTTGATTGATTCAATTTGAAATATTGATCGATTAATAAAAATAAACTGATTGCAGTTTTTTGGTAAAAAATTTTTTGAATAAAATTTTTTGATTTTTGATAATGTAGCAAAGTATACTGAGTAATAGTAAAAATAAATATTAAATATATTATTGGTGCTCCAAGTTAACAATATAAACAATTTTGATGTAAAGTTTAATTTTTTGAGATAAAAAAAAGTCCTTCAAGTAAAAAATTTAGTTAATTAAAAAAATTTATGTATTAAAAAGAAAAGAAAATAGAAAAAACCTTAAGAAATATTTATAAAAAAATAATTGTTACAAGTCTTTTTTCATGCAATTCAAAGAAAAAATAAAGTTTTCAAACTTGCTTTTCTCTGGTCAAAGGTTTCATCCTGATGCATCAGTATATTTCTTTGATTTTTTTGAGGCTCTTGTAGTAAAAAAAAGAAAGTATGAAAAACTTTTAGGTATTGAAAGGCAAAAAAATTATTTGTTTCTTTAATTTTAAAGAAAATTACTATAAATAAAAATTTTTTAAAAAAAAGTTATGTACAAAACTAGATATAATTTTTTTAAATTTGATTTTTAAACAATATATATATAATATAAATTTTAGAAATATATCAAAAAAATTTTAGTCTATTTTCAAAAAATATTATTTATATATTAGAATTAAGTGGTTAAAAAAAAATTTTGTTAATATTAGTAATAAAATCAGAGCATTTACTAGAAAATGCAGACTTGCATCAAAAGTTCCAGCTATCATATATGCTACTTTATAGTGATGAAAATAACTATATAATAGGTACTGTTATGATATGATTATTGCCAGATATTATAATATGATTGTTAAGATCAAATTTAGTAATAAAAGAGAGTTTGAAGGAAAGATGTAAGGTTTGGCATATAATCCTTTATCAAAAGACTTTGTGTCCAAGGATTAGGGCTTT